GTATTCGCCGCTGCGACCACTGCAGGAGGTGGATTAAAAGTGTACCCCTGGTATCTCAGCATCTGATGGTTGAGTGGGAAGATAGCAAAAATATTCGACATCCCTGGTCAATCTTAACCAGGAATCATCGAGTTAACATCTATTACGTGGCGGGTTGCGTCACAGGTAACACGAGATGCCTTGCAATCGCTACAATCTTGGAACGAGATCGATGCCGTCCAGCTCGGGTAATAATGGTAAAAAAGAATTGAAGCCGGAACCAAACAAACGGGTGTGTTCCGATATTTTGTAATAATGGCATGTGTTGATGCGTGCCAAGTTCAGATGACGTCACGTCAAGCCACGACCAGCTCACCTCACCTGTCGTGATTGCCTGCTCTTCCAGGCCACGTGACAATGGAAGCCAATGGCCTGGCGATGCGCCAGTTACGCTGTTTTACTTGTGGCAAATGAGTGCAGCAAACCATTTTGGTTTGATAGTAGTAAGCTCACCTCGCATAGCCCCTGAGGTGACTTGGTGTGACCTCACATGCTGTGACTGACCCTGACTGGCAGAAAGGCACACCAGTCGACGGAATTGCCACCAAAACAGGCTGCAACAAGAATACTGTGATTTTCCACATGTGGTGGCAAGAATCGCGTACAGGCCTTTACTGATAACGCCATAACTAGGTGACCTGAGCAAATAGGATTTTTCAAATAGACTGCCTTTCCGTCACGGGACATTTCGTGACACACCTGGCACGGCACGAAAGTTCTTCACAAATTCCGGGGGTGGGGTGGGGGGGAGGGGGTGAAGTGGGCACCTTAACTTCTCAGTTGGTCGTGGGCTGACCAGAAAGCTGGAAAACCTACCCGGCACATTGGTAGCACCAGTCGGAAATTATATCGCAATTTGGGAAAAGCTCTTGCTGCCTCCCCCGCGTATTCGGAATAGCGGGTTCGCTAGAGGGATGCAGTGGGATGCCTGGAACTGGTGCTGACATCAGTCCAATCTTATTTGTGCATCGCACATCAACTGCAGCCAGCAGTAAAAGCGTATACGAGGCACATGCCGTTTCGCTGCAGCACAATTTTTCGCATTTTGTCACTTCTCTGTGCACCTTGTGTGCAGTTACTCCGACTGTCCATCTTCTGGTGGCTATGTTTTCAGTTTTACGTCCGTCATACTTGCTACAGCAGCAATGAAAAAACGTCTACGTTTTATTCCCACCTATGGGTTCCAGTAGGCCAGGCGGTAAGTGCTATATCAAGTTCGCTGGACACCAAAACCGGAACCCATACTTACTTAGGTGGCCGCCTGTACAAGCCAGATTGGCTTACAACTAAAAATGTATATAGTTACGCTAAGCTTAAAAAGTGAACAAGGTGAGAAGTGGCATATATTTCTCGCTGCCACATCAGCATCCGTGTTTACCCCTCTACAAGGAACGAGCTCCGAAACGTCATTATTTCAAAGCGGTGCATAAATTTAAAATCGCCTCCCCGATCAGAAAACTGCACTTTTTTGGCGGCCTTATTGATTTGGCTTCATTTTATTGTTCTTTTGAGACGCTCGACAAGCATCTGTACCAATTTATTCCTACATTTAGCTCTTATGCCATCTTTTGTTCACGAACGCAACATAAGTCACAATCACCGCAGTCTGCAAAAGTAGTCTGTACGTAAGTGCCTGCACGCAAGCACATCGACATCAAAATAACACAAAAACGCCAGCTGCCGCCTGGCGAAGCCCATCTCCACCGGGAGCCCATCACTGCCACCGGCTTCCGGACGTCATCCATCGGCCGTTCTCGCTCGGGCCCGCCGGCGACGACGCGCCTGCCGTGCCAGCGGCGGCCGGCGGACCGGCGGCGGGACGGCGCGGCGCCGCCTCCGATGCGGCGCGAGTGCCGCACGCCGCGGCCGCTTTGATCCGCCGCCATAAAACTTTAACGACCAGCGTAAAATGTGTCCGGCGACCGCCTGTTGTGACCGCCGCCGCCGCCTGGCCGCCCCGGAAGCGACGCGCGCGCGTCCTGCGCCGAGCGTTTAGGCGGGCCGCCGCTGGTAAGAGCTCTCCCATGGCGAGCGTCGTGAGTTTTTGTGGCGTCGGCGACTGAGGAGCGCGCGGCGGCCGCATTCTGACGTTCGGGCGGCGACCACACACAGACAATGGCCACGTATCGGGCCTGCCAATCGCTAAAATGCTGCCCCACGTCAGCCGACTTGATTTATACCCGACAAAGATTGATGATTTATTGCTGAGCCACCCAGGAGTAATCCGGTCATTAGTCACCTTTTTTGCCAGACTCATATATTCTGAGCCTCCTAATGGGCAGCCGGGCTTAAAATTGTCAATTGCAAACCTGTATAAGGATGCGAGCGAGGTCCGGGCGGCGGTCTTCAAGCGGGCATCTTGCTCGAGCCGGGCGGCACATGAAACTCTTTCGCGGGGCGCACGAGCTTCACGAGTGTCTAACAATGTCAACATTTAGACGCTTGCACACAACAACATGTGCAAAAATGGTCGACACGGCCACCAGTGCAGTTTGTTTGAGGTAAAAATGTCAACGTTACCTGCAGGTGTTTTGCGGACACGGGCATCACGCCAGTTATGGCGACAATGCTATTTTCCGAGTTAGTTACTTGTCAGAGTTGTATATAGCCATGTAGGCGTGAAGAGGAGTGGATAAACCACACATTCGTACTGCGTTGGTGAGTGAACCGAACATTTTCTTTGCGTGAGCCTTTACGCCTGTAAGTGACTAAAAGATCCAGCTGAAACTGAAAGTCATAAAAGGAAAAATTCCCCCCGCCCTCCCAAGAAGATAGTTAAAATGATGCTCATCCGTACATTACATATACGTGTAAACGGATATGCATCTCACGGTGAGATATGTTGCTAGCCTCTCGAGACACCGCAGCTATTTTGACGCTCGAGGGCGCAACTCACTTCGCAGCTCACTTTTGCAGTTGACGCGCCCTTATACACCAATGACTAACTATCGGGAGCCTTTCTCATCATTAATCTTCTCAGCCACTCCTTTGGCGTCTAGAAAGCATTGGTCAGCCTGAACAACATCTGATCACCTCCCGGATGACCATCTTATGGAGCTAGGGATTCACTTGGAATCCTTTGATCGCTGCTAGGGCTCTGTGAACGTCACCGTAATGTTTTCCCTCCTGACGCTGTACTATGAGTACATATGCCGATACGTGTAATGTTTCCAAGTTGTTTCGGGAGCTAGTGCCGATTTGAAGTACGCTTACCGTCCCAAGTTCCTTTCGACGTTTCCAGCGACATACCTTAGCGCCCTAAACGATCGTTCAGTGGTCTTGGGCCTTGTACCGCTTGGGCGCGCCGGCTACCTCTGAAACTGTTCTACATCTGATCTATCGTTCGTTATGGAGGCGAGACAATCCTGAAGCTCTGACCGCCCACAGGGGCTGGTCGTTTTAGGGCACACGTTCGTTGTGGTACAACATATGATCTCCCGCGTAATAAAAGACCGTATAACCTAGAGATCAGTCGATGTTGCCTAGCCAAATGCGCTAACAGTGGAGCTTCTGCCTCTTGAATTACAGCAGACTCAAGACCGTTCATAAGCCCTAGGCGTCTAAGGGCTTCTTGCTACCTTGGAGTTGTTTAACCAGCTGGACCATATGTTCTCCTGAATAGTCCGACTGCTTTCGGGGCCACTCAAAATCCTTAAGAGATTCTATACCGTGTTAAGATTCATCAGCGATATTAGCCCCCCCCCGCCCCCCGCCCGCCCCCGCCGAGAAGATTCTCGTTTGAGTTCAGTATGCTTCCATTTACCTGACAACTGGCTTTGGTATCAAGCATCCTTGACATTCTTCAGTACTCGAAGGCAGCGGGCTTACTTGGATAGATTACTTGGATAATGGACACTTACTTTGAGCCCTTGATCGTCTCAAGCGAGGTACCTCTGGAAATATCACAGCATTCTTCATCGTACTACCGTCTAACGGTCTGATAACTCACACCCATCGCCGTTTGCCTAAACTGACTTGTAGTCCCCTACCTTTTCAGCCTATCAAAGGTGACCATCGGCTATTTCGACGCTATTTGGATGCTGAAACAAGAACTCAAAGTCGTATAGGAATCCTCCATTTATCTCTGCCCTACCGTCTTGGGCCCTGTACTGCACCCTGCTTCAAACTCCACTTGAGCTTTCCACCCTCCTGACCGTCTTATATTACGTTTGGGCAGTTTTGTGACCTAGACCCGTCTCAGATTCTCCAATTCCACACATCATGTCCTGTCACCATGGGAGCCAAGTACACCTTTGAGCATTGAACATTCAACGGACGGATACAAAATCGTGAAAACACGGTACGGACAGCCCGTACCACACCTGTACCTGTACCTGACCTGTACCGCCGCGGGTACTGGTACGGCCTGTACCAGTACCCGCGGCGGAGAGGTGTCTGGACTGCTAATGCGGGGCTTAAACAACACCAGGGCATGCCGACCGGTATTGGATGCATTGAATCCCTGCCAGTGCCAGTGTCAATCAAACCTTACTGTCCGTACAAGGACCCTCAGGTGCCTCGGCCGGCGTCGGTGCTGCGCCGGACCAGGCTTTTCGAGACTATCCCTAAATTGCAAGCTTCCCAGCACGCGCCCGTTCCCGCCACATCTTCCGTCAATCAAATATGTTCTCACTTTGCAGTCATTGCTTGGTGAATGGAGTGTATATATATATATATATATATATATATATATATATACCTACTACTTCTTAGTTACTAGTTACTGCAAAACTTTGGTTCGCTACTTTAAACTGAACACATAATTTTTAGTCAGCATTAAAAAGACGATTGCTATGTATCATTTGAAGATAATACACAACATTCATTTTCATTCACGCGGTGATAATTATAAGGTCAACCTAAGGTAACGAAACAAGACTCTAAGTTACAAATAACTTCCTGATAATACCGTTGGCGGTTGTAGTTCCAATATAAGAGCTGTACACTTTGTATTCGTTTCGCCGCGGTGTCGATCGCATTGCCAGTGCATCCCGTGCAGTCACGCCTCTCCAACAGGAGGGAGCGGGCTTTACATGGGGTGCACACGTCAGCGCAAGCTCCGAGAGTTGCGACTTATTGGCTAAAAGATCATTCAATTGCTATATTTCTGCTATGTTGGTTGGCTTAGGCATAATCTCAGATTTACACACAATATCCATAGGACCACCACTGCACGCACACTTTCAACCAGTAGTCATAAATACGGTTACAAATAATTTACGTTAGCAACAGCTAGGAGCAACAAACGGGTCGTATATTACCACGTTTCTAATTTGACTAGCTTGCTTTGGTAAAAATATGCACATTTCCAGCCTTCTCCCACACACTGACAGCGCCTGGACACAACGTCGCTATCCGGGCATGCAATGTTCGCAATATTTATCACAGATTGAGTCGCTTTTTCTTGCTTTTCCTCCGAAGTTCTTTCTCCTCTTCTTGGAGGCGCTCCGCGAGCTCCCTGCGGCGTCGCTCAATCCCCTGGGTCCAGTCCTCCTTCGGCGGCTCCTCCGCAGCCGGCCGCTCCCGCTTGCCTGGCTCGGCGCTGGCCGGCGGCGGCGGCGCGAGCGGCCCCGGGCCCTGCTCCGGCGGCAGGGCCTCCCACGCACTGGAGTCTACCAGGTCGGCCGGACGGGCGCCGAGGCCGGCCATCTCGGCATCGAAGCGCGCCGCGTCCAGTGGCTCCGTGCGCAGCCCTTTCAGGATCAAGTGCGCACCGGAGCGTCGGTAGTCGTCCAGCTCGCGGTCGCGAGCGGCCACCTCGGCCAGCAGGCGGCGCTCGCGCTGCTGCGCCTGGCCTAGCGCCACTAACAGAGGGCGCACCAGGCGCGCTGCCAGGCCGCCGGGCAGCACGCGCAGCCGGAACTCCCAGCACAGTGGCACGCCTAGACCGTGGCTGGTTAGTCGAATAACATCTCTGTCCCAGGCGGCGCCACTGTCGCTGCGACCGAATGCCTCTTCCAAATATGGCAGGACCTGCTCACCAGTGGCCTCCAGCGAGGGGTTCAACGTCTGAAAACGCTGCAGGAATGCAGCAGCGTCCATCGTCTCGGAGAACATCTCGGAGAGATTGGTGACCAGTAGATTGTAACCTCCACTGGCACTAGAAAATTGGTAAAGGACATCACCAAGCCCCTGCCATGCACGCCATGGAACGGCATGAGAGCTGGACATCTGAAAAAAGGACACAAATGCAAGGGCACAACTCTGTGATAGGCACTGTTGAGAGACTTGCCATTTTGGTTTTCCAGCTACTGCAAATGCATGACCATAAATTGGACAATGTCCATTACCTGATGTCTGAAAAACTGATGCTGGGAACATGGTATGATCATAAATTAGGTTGTGTTATGATAGTTATACAATGCATACTAGTCATACAATGAATACAACATAAATACTATATAGTTGTATAATGAATATAACACTACTAAAACATACAAGATAAGCAAATAGACACATCTGGGAATAAGCTCAGATCTGATGCAGCACATTCATTTGACCACAGCTGTGGAACTATTGACCTTAACATTCTTTCACTTTGAAAACTATCACCTTCAACATCATTCTGGCTGCTGAAAATATTTCGGTAATACAGTACTTTGGTTATTTGTTCATGCACCCTGTTATCTATATCTAACCTCATCAGTTCTGCTATTCAGTGTGTGCACTTTAAGAAAAATATTCTTAGAATCAATATCTATTAAGATATTGCAATTTTGTGTATTGTGCTTATGACTGCCTCCCATTGCACTGTTCTTATGCCATTATTGGTCATTGGTTGTGGTAATCCTTATTTATCAAATGTTATGCCCAAGTCCTTTACAGCTACCAACAAAATCAAACCATTATGTCCATGGTAGCAAAAAATTGCAACAAATAGCAAGATCACAACATCTAAAAACAAAAAGTGCAAAAGATTGTATACTACCATTTGGCTTCAGCCCATCCCTCCAATCTTTGATAAGAAAATAACCCAAAACTATAAAGAAACACATTTTTGGCATCCTTTAAAACATATTTTATTGGGTTTCATTGCCCAGCCACCCTTGGAGTAAAAAGCTTAGATGTACAATCAGATTATCAGCCCTTTCTTCCGGATTTCAGGTTTGACAAAAATCACCCGCAGCCCGGCCCCACATTCTGCACCAAACTAACTGCCTTCCCGCCATTAAAATTCACATGTCACATTTCGCTACTCAATGGAAACAAAGGATAATAATCTGTGCACTTTGGTGCTCGAACGCCCGCGCTTCTACGAAGAAGTTTTACTTTTAATAGGACAACACGGTTACATTCACCTTCCCGCCGCGTCCCGCCCCACCTCGGAACTCAATTTGTATGGCCCAAGTCGGGTTGATGTCAGTCACAGTACATTCGCATCATTCGCGCGGTGTTTGTCTTTGAATCGTGGAGTATTTTCGAATTTGACAACCGAAATAAAACGTAGAGCTTGGCCCTATTTACTTAGAGTATCATGACTTCTCAGCCATGGCTTTCATTTCTCAAAATATGAGGCTATCCTCATTTTCATCTCTATCTGTAGTTTTCCCCGTAGTTTTATTGCTATTTCACTGAATGATTCATCTTTAATATAGTCCCTGATTTTCGATAACCATGGTAACAGGTTGACCATATCTAAACAAACGACAACCGTGACATTCTTTGCGGGTATGGAGCGATGGATTTGTGTCCAGCATATCTATTTCATTGTGCCTTTTCTTAAAGTTTTAAAGAGCAATGGTCCCAGTTCATTTGTGCAGTAGACAGACTATCAACATAATTCAGCCAAATGGAAGATAAACTGAGGGTCGCTTCTGACCTCCTCGGTGACGAGTCGGACCATGGGACACCTAAAGAGGGGGTTTTTGCCGCTATGGATCAAGTACATATGCTGATCTCATCGACTCCGGAAGCAGCTGTTGCTAAATGTAAGTGGCTGCTGTATTGTTGGACTGGAGAGGTATGCTTCATTGTGATGTGGTTCACATAATGCATCATTTAAAAAAACATTTATCAAGTGGATTTTGGAAATACAGAAGGTCTAGCAAAAGTCAGAATGCTAAGAAAGCTTAATATCAAAATTTTGTATTGTGCTTGCACTACATATTTGAAACTCCACTTGATGTAAGAAGTAGGTTGAACCATATAAATGTCTAGGTGATCCTCAAGGTGCTGTTTGAAAGGTGGCCCATGTGTAGGTCACAGTACACTGAGATGCTATGTTCCGACACTCCAGCCCCATACCTTTCCATTTGTGCACTCCATACTCCTTGCATTCCACATGTGGTTCCATATTTGGTGCTTGAAGGTTTAAGAATGCCTCTGTATTTGATTGAGTGGACCTGTTACCATGGAGTGGACCTGTTAACATGTTCTGCCACTACCAGCCTCAGCTGGCATTATTCTGACCTGGTGCCTTCAGGTCTGGTCTCCTCTGAGATGGTGCTGTTACTGGCATCAGAAGACAACCGAGTGTGCAAAACTGCCATCAGCATCATCACCAGCATGGTGAAGCATGTGGGCGAGCAGATCAAGGTCACGCTTTGTGACCAGGAACGCTTCCTGGAGCTGCTCGACGAGTTGGTATACAAGCTGTCGACAGTCAGCGACGTACAGTGTGCATGGTGGGTCTCCATACTCCTGAAAATATAAGTCTGGTAGCGCATGTTGGGGTAGGGGTCTGTATCCATATTCCATGTCCTCATAGATATATTCAAAGTGAGACCCAGAAAGGCACCTCAATCGGCGTCCATTTAATATCCATAAATAGCAAGGCAACCTCTTGCAAGCGGCAATGACACCTCCATACCTCGCGACGTATTCCAACAAAGACTGTGCTGGCAGCTCGATTGTGCGTCTTCTGATGTCAATGATCGAACGCGACGAAGATGTACTCGACGTTTTCTGCCACAACTACCGTGGTATCCGACCTGTGCTGAAGAGGTGGCAGGGTGATGGCTTTGACCTCTTGCTCAAGAAGTTCGGTGACGCCGTGACGTCAGGTACGGTGTGGCCAAACGCCGTGTGTATCGAGTAATTTGTTGAATGCTGGCATAACAATCTGAATCCGGTAATGCTTGCATGCGCTTGCGGAATATAACGGCGAAATGCCTCTGCTTTAAGGAGGACTACATCAGCTGTGTTCATATAACTCTCTGCAGGAAACTAAACCCTTGCACCCAAATTAACATGACTAATTTAGTTGCAAGTTGCATTTTGTCAAGTGTTTATATTGTCCAGTTCGCCAACCAATAAACGACACCTGCTCCGTTCATGGTTCCGCAAAAAAAAATGCCACTCCATCTCTCCTGCAATTGTACCACTCCGTACGTCTCCCCGCCCGCTGGCTAGTGTTGGCAGTCGCCCCCCCCCCCCCCGCAGGCGACCTGGCGCTAGCCGAGTCCGAGCACAGACGGCGCGCCGCCACCGCTATCCAGGCGCTGTACCGGGGCCACCTGCTGCGGCGGCGACTGGCGCGCGCCACCGGCACCATAGCGCGCCTCCAATGCCGGATCAGGTGAGCCGGCCACGGTGCACCGCCGCCACAGCTGTGTCGACGCTGGCTCCTCCGCCTGGGCGTGAAAGCTTGTGAGCTTGGGTGGGTTGTTTCCGACTCTGGAGAACGGGGCGGCTGCTTCGGCGCTCAGACTATCGCCCGACCGAGGCCCGTTTGGGAAAGCGTTGCGGCCGACGGCAAGCGATAGCTCGCCAGAGCCGCTGGTGAGGCTGCGCTGGCGACCGACTGGCTGTGTCGCGCTGCAGGTGGCGACGCGGCCGTGCCGCCCGCCAAAAGCTGGTCAAGTCGCGCGAGGAATGGGCGGCGTTTCGAGGCGCTCTGGAGCGGCAGCAGCAGCGGCGCCAGCACACTGAGAGGGTGCTAAAGAACGTGTCTGACATCAGCGCTGGTGAGCAGCTGAACCCCCTCCCTCGTGAGATGCCGTAACTGATGACGCTGTTGCGCTGTGGGCACCTATTGTATGATCGCTTTTGGCGGACTAGGCTCAGGCCTGTCCCAACAGCGGGCGTATTCAATGCCAGAGAGAATGCCAGAACAGCGTGATAAGAATATTTGCTGTCCCCACGTCGGAGGCATAGCATCCTGCTTTGGCATGTAATATAAGCAATGTACTACGATGCATCGCGACCCGTTTCAGAAAAAGTCCCGGCCTACCTCCGAGACCGCCGGAGGACGGCAGCCGCGCGGATCCAGACCTACTGGCGCGCGTACCGAGTCCGCCGACAGATGGCAGCGTGGCGCGAGGACAGGCAGGCGCCAGCGGGCGGCGGTGACCGTGCAGCGGTGGTGGCGCCACTGTCTAATCCGGCTGCGGGCCGGCGCCGCGCAGGGCCCGCTCTTCCAGTTGACGGAGGAAGACATGGAGAAGTACCAGCGGCAGATTGACAGGTGTGAGGTTGGAATGGGCATAGCTGTAAAATTTGCCGTTCGGTTCGTTGCTTTTAGGGGACATATCCGAGAATTGCGAGAGCTGCAACAATGGGCGCAGGACCGATTACCACACTGAAACGTCACAAAACGTGATGCGGTTGGCAGTTTCACCGCGTGCAACCCACACTGAACCACCACCTGTACTATGCTGTCACACGGCCGCGCGGCTTCGGGCGCCGGTGCACGTCGCGGCCGCCTGGCTCTAGCTCCGCCGCTGTTGCAGCTCGCTGGAGACGGCAGAGCTGGCGGCGCGGCCGGCGGGCGGACCGGACCGCGCCGCGCTGGAGCGGCAGCTCGCCGAGTCACAGGCGCTGTTCGGCCGGGCGGCGAGCCGGCTGGCCTCGGACGCCGCCTGCCGACGCCGCTGCCGCTCGCTGCTGGCGCAGACGCAGGCCATCTGCACACTGCTGGAGGCGCCGGCCGGCGAGCGGTCACCGGTTGATTTCTGGTGCCCGTCACACCAGCTGGCGGCACGCGCGCGGCACCTGCACCGGCGCGCCGTGGCCCACGCCGCCGCGCCCTGGTGGCGCCGGCTAGATGACTTCGAGGACGGGTACTGACGGTGTCTGATGAGGGGTGCCCGTGTGGAACGGGCGGAAACAGTGCGTCGGCGATTATAGAGGCGTCTCCAGCCCGTTCCAGTGTTTGATTGGTCGCATGCATGGATTGGCCAGCTTAACTGGCACCTGCGGTTTGATTTGGGCTGCGAAGTGATCACCGTTTAATACATATCTATCGCAAGGAAACATCACATGGAACGCACGAATATATTAGTCGGTACAATTTTGCGTGGTGCTGCCGATATATGCATAGGACTGGCCAGAATCCTGTGGTTTCCATTTACGCCGCTACATTCACGAATACGATACATGGAACTAAGCTATGTACTGCTACCAACACCGGGTAAGTTTGACCTCCCATAGAACTAGCCTCAAAACACGTGGCTGCCTCTATCCAAACAAGAACATCGACCGTGAGATTACACAGGGACTAACGTTCAGGTAAACATATTGTATCACGTTAAACGACTGAAGCCAGGCAAATACGACCCCAACGTAGGTAAGTACGAATACACACATTAGCGTTACCAGAATGACGCTCAGGCTAACTACGTAAAGTAAAGGACAAATCAGATCGATACCATCACCAGAAGCACAACAACTAGCCGGGGCTCGCGGTCATTTCCGTGTGGTCGCCGGTGCCATCCAGGGCCCGCTCAGCCACTAGTCTTCGCTGTCCGCCTCCTTCAGCAGAATCTCGAAGCTGAATGGTATGAAGAGGTATCCCTCGCCACTGTAGAACTTGGACTGAAACTCGACCCTGAGGGGAAGGGGGAGGGGGCGGGTCAGCACAGCGGGACTCTGTGCGGCCCGGTCGTGCGGGACAGTCCCCGCGCGACGCTCGGGCGTCCGACCCGGACCATTCGGCACGGACGCAAACGAGCAAACCTCTCCGCCGCGTCGCAGTCACAGACACGGCCTGGGCACTGGCCATCAGTTGGAGCGTCGGTGCCCGGCTGGCGCACGGTCGCGGCGCGGCAAACACTGCCGATAAGAACACTAGCGGCATTGGCCAGTGCAGCCGTTGTCCCGAACCGAGAGTGCATTACGTTGCTAACCAATGGAATCGTTTTCTTCGTTTCGACGGCACCATCGTGATATCGCTTACCGAGTCGTGACAACACACCAGATCCATGGCTGTGCGCACAGCTCTCCAGGAAAATGAGTCTCCGGCTATCGGACACTCACCAATGCAGGCGGAGTGTGTGCAGGAAGGCCGACAAGCCCTCCATCACGATCAGGATGCTGACTGTCAGGGCGGCCCAGGCGGCGAAGATGATGTACAGCAGGATGCCACCCCAGTACTCCTGCGTCAGGCTCAGGCCCCTGACCAGAACCATTGTCCACAGCACCTCCGACAGCTCTGTAAATGAGACGCAAGGGCGTTGGTGGGTGTGCTGACTTGCGTCGCAGGCAGAGGAGTAGCTGCGCATATCGGTCGTAAGCTTGATCCATGTGGAAAGACCTATCCTTTACCTAAACTATAATTTGCTGGTCACCGGTCTTCATATTTCATCGCCAATGCCTACCTCCTTTTCTTAGTTATATTAATCTGAGTTATATTAAAGGTGTAATGCCCTTCCCTTCAAGTATGTTGCGCAACAGTCCAGGACATTTTACAAAGTGCAAAGCGAGCACGAGCTGGGACCAGATGCTGGCTGACATGTGATGGTCCCTAGGCCAGACCCAGAGCGCTGGGATTTTCAAGAGCACGGGACGGGGAGGCAGAGAGGGAGGAGGGAGCTCAGATAGTATTGGGAAGCCTCGCTGTTCACTTCACTTCTTCACTTTGCTCAGGCGTACAAAAAAGACATCCTTATCTGCAGGCCAGATGACACTTATTATCATTTGGCCTACTTCATCGCTTCTAATATAGAAACAGCATGACTGACAACAGAACATGTGATCTATCCAACCAGCCCCCTGACATTGTCACCAAAAATCAAAGGATAGCCCATAGGCGTTGTATGACCATGGCAAGTCGGGGCGCCTTAAAACCCCAATACTCAACCACAAAGGAGCCCAGATTCTAGCTAATGATGCCATATCTGGTCCACAGCAGCAGCGCCCAAGCCACGCGCAGTACTCACGGGAGTGCGCCAGCGAGAGAGCCCAGAGTCGCAGGTAGGAGGCCGTGTGCGACACGGAGCCCAGCACGTACTCCACGGTGTGGATGGCCTGGTGGATGCAGATCTCGCTGAACTCTTCGTCGTCGCTGTGTCCGCCGCCGCCGCCGCCACCGGCCGTCGGCGCCGCCACGTCACCGTTCGTCGCCGGCAGCTGGCTGCGCGCCGCGTTCCTGCGCTGCCAGAAGATGAGCGCCGGCTTGGCGATCAGCATCCACGGGATGCAGAGGACGCCGATCAAGAGCAGGAAGTATTGGAAGCCCTTCTGGCCGTCGAACAGGTAGCCGTCGCAGTACTCCTCGCCCAGTCCGCTGCCCTTGGAGTCCGCGTTCATGTCCTTGAGCAGGAACATGTTGATAAAGATGAGCAGCAGCGAGGGGGCGCAGTGCGTGCCGTAGCGGATCTCTTCCGGAGTGGTCGGGTTGAAGGGGGCGCTGTACATGATCCACTTGAGCAGGCAGAGCATGCACAGCCAGCCGAACAAGCATAGCAGGAACAGCACCTGCGGCAGGAACATGGTGACGATGTCCGAAAACTTGCGGAAGTACCTGCCGGCAGAGAGGAGGGAGAGCGTCAGTCGTCAGCAGCAGGATGCGACACCGGCTCTAACGGCGAGCGGCACCGCGACGCGACGTCAGTTCGCCCGCGCAGCTGCCGCCCGTGGCGTCGCTTCGGCATTCACGTCGCACCGAAACACTCGATGGTCGACCAGCCGAGGCATGCGCATGGGCTTACATGTAACACCGCCCACAGCAAACACGATCGTTCCCATCCGAGCGCCGCCGCAGATGCAGCCAAAGCGCGCCGCGCCCGCCCGCCAGCACTCGCCGGTAGTTGTAGACGGACAGGATGACGCCGAAAAGCATCTGCGCCACGCCGAGCAGCACGGAGATCTTCATCTTGAACGCATTCTGGTAGGTGACGCGGTTCGAGGCCACCTGCCAGACGGGGTCGAAACCGAAGCCGTACGGCACGCCGTAGTAGCAGGTCGCGTTCTCCGGCGGCAGCAGCAGCGTCTCCGAGTCCGAATGCTCGATCTCTTCCACACGGAAGCAGTTGCGCCAGGACGAGCCCAACACGTTCACCGACTTGGAGAAGATGTCGTTGTAGATGAAGCCCGTGTATATGGAGAAGAGGCCCATCAGCAGGATGATGTAACGGCCGCCGAAGAAGATGGACGCAATCTGCAAAAAAACAGTCACATGGTGTCAGATGATCCCATACATGGCCAGCGACTTCGCTAAATAAAGGGCAAGACATACGGGTGGTCAGCGAGCAGTCTGATTGGATAGTCACAAATCTAACTCAGTCAGAAGGCAACATCGTATTGCACACATCAGCCTTTCTATCTGCATCAAACACTGTTGGCTACAATCAATTCAGTCATGATTGATATTTCTCCGTTCCAGTTGGTTGCATACGATCGATGTACAAAAATTCAAAGACTGCATGAGTGGTGTTTCGCGGCACTCACACATTATCGACGAGTGATATGCAAAGCGTCACTGCACTGGCCACACACCTCATTGTCGATCTTTTTGGCGGCCAGCGGCTTCTCCTTCCAGACCATCCAGCCAGCCATCAGTGCCATGATGATGCCGTGGCCGAAGTCGCCGAACATCACGCCGAACAGGAACGGGAACGTGATGATGGTGTACGGAGCTGCCGGGCAAGCACCGTCAGACGGTCAAGGCCTGCCCAGCCATGCATCCCTTAACCGCGCCAGCGGTGCGGTTAAGGGATGACGCGTTGTAACAAAAACGATGGCGTGTTTTAATTCTGCCACAAATAGTGATTCATACGGTGATTCAAGTGTAACACACGGATGCGAACTAATGCAGTCTTGCAGACCCGTATGTCATGACGTCTAATTAATATAACGTTTTCATTGCATGTTCATTGTGATACTCTCCGAGACAATCCCATCCTGGTATTTCCCCTCCGGCAGCACTCCTCCCCATCCATCAACCGCACCGCGGCGCGCGCCTGCTCACCGGGGTTCATTTCGCGGTACGAAGCGACGCCGTACGCGTCCACCAGGTCCTGGAAGCCCTGCGTGAACTTGTTGGTGCGGTTGTATGTGGGCGGCGCCTCCCTGGTCTGGATGCTGTTGAGCACGGGACTGACGGAGGAGCCGGAGCGCTCCGAGCCCCGCCGCAGCGCCAGCTGGATCGTCTCCGTGTCGGCCGCCGGCACCCAGCACTCGGCGATCAGACACTTCTGCGTCACGTCCAGGTTGAACCAGTTGAGCGTATGATAGATGGCCTTGATCTTGCGCACCTTCACGAACCATGTGCGGATGTTCTTGGCGGCGGCCACCAGCACGCGGTGGCGGTGGTCCTGGGTCTGGGCCAGCACCTGGGGCGGCGCGGCACGCAGGTTGCCGTCAGTACGGCTCATCCGGGGGGAAGGGGGGGGGGGTGAGCGAGCGGTCGACTTACTCGATTGTCCAGAGCCCAGCTAGCTTTTGATTCGTACAATGCCGTTAGGGCGATAGTAGCTTTGCATCAGGACCCGCCATTAATTCACACTCGTCAAAAATCATGGAAACATTACCATACCAAAGCCGCATCTGAACTCATCACACGCTGCGCAAGCCACACCCGACGTGCGGCCTTATTGCACGCTGATGCCCTAAAGCAAATACGCCTCGGCATCGCACGCTCCGCCCGCCCGGCCACAAGCTCGAGCGCACGCCGCACTCTGGCCGGCTCTGACCGTGTTGAGGTCCTCGATGCGCGTCATCACGCCCATCTTCATCTCGCGCCGCTCGGGCGGCGTCTCCGGACACGGGTAGAGCGTGGCGCGGAAGCCCTCGCAGATCTTCTTCACGCGCGTCTTCAGCTGCTCGCCTTGGAAGAAGATGATGAACACCGACTTGTAGACTTGGTCGCCCTGCGTGGCAAAGGAATGTCCGTGAAATATTTGACTCTTCACCCACGGTAGCGAAGTTCCGCGCCCCACCTCCACACATGCCCCACAGATTTACGAAGTACTTGGAATCAACGGTCGCGCGATTCGGTTAGGCTTCCGAATTCGGCTGTGCTTCGGTTCCCGTAGCTTCGCTGGGAAAAGAGACGTTGATGAAAAGAAGAGACGTTGACGACGGCGTTGATGCTGGAAGCGTTGCCATCCACAACATAACATTCATCCGTGCCTAAACAACACGAGGAGGATCTCGGCTGACATATGCAGCCTGCTATCACTCACGGTCCATGAGAGTTGGCTCGAATCACTTCCGACACCTTACACACTCACCGAGACGGGATCCTCGAGCGCGGCCTCGATCTGCGCCTGGCGCACGAACACGTTGCCGCGGCAGGCCCGCCACAGCATGCGCTCGAAGCCGGGCATCCGCTCGCGCTGGATCACGCCGGCCACGAAGCTGCGGGCGCCGGGGCGGCCCCGTCACGTCGGCACACAGGGCACGGCCACGCGCGGGAGTCCCGACACGGGCACATGGACACAGTCGGGCTGTGGCAAGAAACGGTGGTCCCCCCGCGGCCGCCAGGGTCCTGCGTGATGATCCGGGCTTTAGGGCACGCCGACTAACCTCGTCATATTGCGCCCCGAGGGTCCTACACAGAGGCCTGAGACCATGCGCGGTGTCCGCCGTCCCCAACAACGCGCGGCTGGACAGGGACGTAGCGGCGAGATTGGGGGGGACGGACATTTTCTATGGCAGTGCACGCGGAGCTCAAAGTTACAGGTCCAATCCCGAGATGGTCGAAACTTTACGTTGGAAAGCGGAGCGTTCGATTAGCGGCATCGATCGCATTGGTTCTGCTCATTTTGACACCCACGGCAGGAGACATTTCCTTTAGCCTGGTAATGCCATGGTGTTCTTCCCCCTTCCCCTTCCCAACACCGTCGGCACCGAGACGAAGAGCAACGGAGTTTTGTGGCATAAACCGAGGGTCGTACGGGCTAGTACACATGTCACACTACACTGCACCTACAAGTGCAACATGGGGACGGGCGCACAGCTATTACCAGTGCAAAACGGTAGTTACGTGTTCTCGTTCGTCCCCAAATTTGGGATTACGTACTGCGATCCCACTGCGAAAAATCGTCCCAAACCCCAGCTTTCACAAACATCGGCTAGATCCGCAAGAACCCAAAGAGCAGTGCATCAACTGCATCAACTGAATGCATCGGTGCATCAATTGAATGAGCTGAATCACAGCAGTGTGTAAGCAGGAAGTTCGAAGTTCTGTCTTAATATGGTTCTTCCATACAGACAGGTTGATCAGTGTAGATCAAAGCAGATAGAAAGCATACGTCATTCGTGCACAGAAACAACGGGAAAGCTCCCGCCTGCGATGCAAACCATGCGGTGTGTGATCGATCTCGACTTGTGTGAAGCGTGGAACCCAAGACCGAACCGTAGCCAAAGGCAATGATAACCAAAAGAGCAAGATGCTCAAGACATAAGGCAGCCAATAACCAGTATGAGTCCAACAGTAATTCCTCTGATAAAAACGTACTCAAGTGCACGACGTATTTCGGCATAATGGTCTTCAAACAAAGTATATGTTCGTGAAATAGGCCAAAGAAACACAACATCGAACACATATGTGGGAAATGATCGATCTCTACGCTTTGCAAAACGGCACGCCGGAACGCCCTAAAACTGGACGTCCACCGTCCACCATTGCTATGGAAACTATGCCTTCATACGGTTTCGAAATAGCAACTTGAGCGTAACCGGCTAACTCGGCTACACCATGCAGCTAGCTTAAAGTAGTCATCTCCTCTGGTTACTGACATTGCACAGTAGTCTCACAAACGCCTCAAACCGAACGAATCCATGGTTTGCGCACGAAGACCGTCTATGCACCTACCCGTCTATGCACACTGCACTCCTTATGGTAACCAACACATTGTCTGTTTTCCTCATCGTCAGAATCCGACAGTTCTCCATCCCTGCGACGCCATTTCGCCAAGATTTTGGACTGGTTTCAGCGCGCACTCTTCGGTCCTTTTGGTTGTTAGAAACGTTTACGTTTTCCATGCTAATCGAATGGAGCACGTGAAATCGTACCGAAACTGTAATGTCGTATGTTAAGTCCTCCGGAGCAAACCATTTGCATGCAAATATGTAAGTTTATACAGAATACAAAGAATTGTGCTTCCTGCTGCTAAAAACGCATTAATATGCCAACTGTTATTGCAAAACTTTGGCTTCTTAGAAATGCGCAGGCCAGACAGGGAAGCTCTAGCTGATTTTTCACCGTACAGAGGTAGGGCCTGCTCAGGCTGCGGCCTCGCTCGTGATTCATTCTGACGCGTAAACTGAATATTGCACGATGACTAGGACAACACACGAAAAACGGCATGGAGCTAAGAAAGTAGTATGGCAGTAAACAACAGGATAGCAAAACATACTGGGCACAACGGATGGCAACTCAACAATTCAACAGCTTCGACGTCAAAATCAGCCAACAAGTGGGAAGAGCACGCCACAGGGACGTGTGAGATTGACAGACAGGGCGGCATGCTGAAAGCCCACAAAATCCAGCGCGTTCCACGAACCTCAAAGCTCAAATCGTGGAAGCATTGGAAACCCATCCACAGCCGACAGACGGGCACTGACTAGCGTATAATTGCCACAGGCTGCATCTCCGTCACCTTACTTATTCTTAGGACCATCCTGGCGCCACAGCGAACATAACTCTGCCTTCAGTCGTCTTCACCAAATGTATGGCTGTCATTGAGGAGACCGATCTACAAGGACCCACGTCAGCAACACCGTCTGGATACCGATCAGCCGGTGTACATCGGTTCGCTGCGCCCCCCCCCCCTCCCCCCTCCCCCTCCAGGCGCTTTGGACACGCACATACTAACACCGTTGCTGTTCGCATTTCCGCCCCGGTCGCCTTACCAACGGACGACCGCCCAATCTTACCTCAGTCCGGCCCGCCCGGGCTCGAAGCGACCGATCAATCTCCACTGGTCACGGGACCGCGTCATGACCAGCGACTTGGCTTTCTGTGTTACCGCTTGACTTCCGACTTATCTCCTTGTTTCCACGCTTTCTGATCGATGCGCAAGCCGCGGCCCCACACCACTCCCACCGCTGCCGCATGAGCAGTTTACAAACCGGGTCGTCCCGCCGGGCAGAGGCTGGGGCGGCGCACGCACCTGAGCTGCTTGGACGGCGACGCCTTGCCCACCTCGTCGTTGGAAAGCAGCGCCTGCTGAATGCCCTCCTGCACATATTGGCCCTCCTTCTGTGCGCCGGCGACAGAGGGGGGGAGTCAGCCAGGCCGACGGGGGCAGGGCGTCGTACGAGACGCGTGCCAGGGGGACGGGGACCGGGACGGGGTGAGGACGGCAGGGGGCAGGGCGGGCGCGGAGTGAAGGTCAGCAGGCCGCCACCGTTGCGCCAGGCCCATCACCGTCGTTAGTGTCCCTCCGCTCGTCCGGCACGCGCCCGCTCCCATGCAGTGTACCTCCGCCGGGGCGGCGACAGCGGCCGCTGCGCCCAGCGCGCGGCCCACTCACCCGAGCTTCAGCGCCTGGCCCGGCTGGTGCATGGCCTCGTCGCCCAGCAGGTGGGCGTTCTCGTCGTCCCTGTTGGCTTCTGACATCTGGTGGGTAACATAGTGATACTGAGGGCCCTGAGATGGAGAGAGGCGCGCAGTCACACCGTCTGACGAGGGCCCCGTCGCGCCGCGCCGCACCGCACCGCCGGCCGTCCGCCCGGCTGGCTCCGGCGGCCCCCCGCGCCCGGACCGGGTGTGCCGTTAGCCGTGGTTCGGTCCGGACGCCGGGCACCACCAGCGCCAGCACAGGCGCCACGAGGCCAGCTGGGCGGGACGCGAGCGGGCGACAAAACAAAACAGGCAGATGCAACTCAACAACCAAGCAAGACGAGTCTACGTCCAGGTGCCAGGCAGGCATGCAGACCGCATTGGCCCTAAAGATTAGAGAGCGCTCCTCCACCCAGCTTGTGGGTTATGGGTCGGCGGCAGAGGACTCAGTTGGGATAGGAACAAAGCGTTGACTGGCGAACATAACGAACGGACAAAAATACGAAAGTGGCAGCTAGTAAAGTGAAATGATCCCAAAGAAATTGCACTGAAGCAAGGTTGCAGCGATAGGCCCACGTCAGATTTTTTCTTTTGACAATTATGCCTCAAAAGAGTACAGAAATTTTGATTCAACCCAAAAGCAGTCTCTTAATCCCAAAGTGAAGCTCCCGATATCACACAGTCACACGCCCACGCACCAAGCGACAGACAGCATCATCAAACACTTACCTCGTCGAAAAAGGTCTGTGTTTTCTGAAGGATATGCTTGAGCTCAGTAAGCTCCAAAAAGTTTTTCTTCAGTGTCTCAGCATTATTATTGACTTCTTTCAGCTCGTTTTCCAACTTTTCAAATGTCGCCTGAAAAACAAATGACTCATCATACCATCACTACCGCAACCCAACAGGACTGGGACCAGGCGCGAGTAATCGCTGCTGCTCCAACTGCCGTACGTAAAGCTGGTTTCACCAACCGAGTCTGGGTGAGGATGTAAGCTGCTTGACACAGGACACTAGTCTCTGCTACCTGTAGAAAAGGGCTGACTTCATCGTGATTTCTAGGGGCACTGAAAGATATAGTAATAAGAAAAAATATACAAGTATGTTATCTGCCATTTCATTGTTGATCCGTTTGTGTGTAATATTTACCAATGCAACTGATAACACTTCTGGAGAGTGTATCAAGCATGTCTCGAGAAATGTCAACCCACTCCAGGAAAGCTGTGACACTTGACCACTGACCTCCAGATCGATCATCTCACGAGGCTGGGGGGCCTCCGGATTCTCTCCCGTGTCTAGCATCGGTATGCCATCCTTCTTGATCTCCTTCTCCAGATAGCGCAGCTTTCGCTCCATCTCATCGCAGCGGCGCACCTCATTGACGAACTTGCGTTGGAAGGCGTTCACGTCGGGGTTCAGCTGCGGCAGCAGGTCATGACCCCTCGTTTGGCGACTGAATCGAAGAGAGCTCGTCCAACAATCATGCAGGACAGCACTGTTCGTACCTATGCCTGGCAGGGCCTTTGATTCTTCATTGCAAGTAAACCTTGGAACAGTTATGAGAATTTGCATGCAGGAACAGCTCACTTACATCTCTGAACTGGACAAGGCCCAGCTCGCCCAGCTCCGAGACACACGCGTAGGCGGCCTCTGTCTGCAGGAAGAGCTGGCAGAGGCTCATCTCCTCGCTGCGGAACAGCCCCCATTCTGACATGGTTGCCGCCCTGAAACAGAAGAGTCCACAGCATAAGAAACCCTTCATTGGCATGGGACATTGTGCATTGCTGCATTGCCAGAATTGATAACATTCTGATGATGACTAGTATCATTTGCCAAGCTTTTTGGCTTTCCAACATTCCTATTGCATAAGCACGATCCATATGACTACCCAAAGTCAATCTCAATATTGCATCAAGTAAAATAGTGAAATATGTGGCAAATTATTCATTTCCCCCCTAAAAATATGGACAATAGGTCATTTTACACAATTATATATTATTAGCAGCTAAAAATAACTATAGGAAATCAAGGTAACACCCAACCACCAATCAGTTCTATCATGTTGTCATTTCATCTGCCAGCATCATCACCACTTTCACTGGAGAAAGGTCATCTCAAGAACAAGTGTCATAACTTTCATTGATAACTGGCTGTTGTGTTAGCATTGCTGATCAGCAGCATGCAATTGTTATCTTATATGTTGAAGGTCAAATGATACAATCTTGCTACCTGGAAATCATTCCTGTTTTTGTGTACTAGAAGGTGAAAATTGTATTGGCAGGATGACCTTTCTATCAGCACAAGTTTGGATGGGCAACTCCTTTCAGAATGGGCTGTAAATAGTCTTATACAGCATGCAAGCAATAAGAAACCACCGAACTGTGATGGGTTGCACCGCAAGATGGAACTCCAACAACATCCATCATTGACAAATACTTTGGCAGCACAACACAGACACAACACACCAAGATCAGAAATCAGCAAATGATGGTGCTTGTTACTGATTGGTTCAAAGGTGAACAGCCAAATATGATGAGCACACCTGATCAGACAGAAACCTGGCTCCCAAGGGTGGATTGGTGATCTCATAAGGTTTCTTGTTTAAGGGATCTAAGGGATAAATGTAATAAGCATAAATATGAGTGGAATATTCTGCCCATTTACTGCTTTTTATCACATTTTGTAACTTAAGAAAACTTGGGTGCAATCTCAGTCTTGTTTTCAGTCTTAAGATGTGGTTGCTAAGGGGGGCTGGGGCATGGTGCACACCAAGCTCCTTTAACATGCAGTTGAGAGGTTAAAAACCTGACCTCTGATAAGTTGATTAGAGCAAACGGCCACTCTAAATGTTGTTGAGGATTTGATGTGCACCATGCAAAGGGACGTTCAAATGCACTAACTGCATGCACAGGGATGTTCAAATACACCAACCGCATGTACCATTTGCTGTGCAACAGACACTCACTCTACAGGCAGTCATAGTCACTGACAGTGCAATGACAACTGGCAATATAGGCATATTTTTATGGATTCAACACAGAGAAAAAAACATGCCATCTGTATTATGCATCAGCCACTTGGCAACAAGAATATATTGTTACAGATTTGCCTTGTTGCTGTGCAGACTCTGTATATGGTGATATTCAATATAACTTAATATTAAGTAAGTATGCTATACTTAATATAAGTATTATTTATTTCATGCATTGTTTCTTAGCAATATGTCAACTGCCATAATATCCTCAGCGATCATCAGGAGGCAGTCCATATGGTCCAACTGCAGCTGTCAAACATTTTTGGACTGGATCAGGGTACGCCCATGGGCTGGGGCACAATCAAGAATACATCTGCTGTGAAAACATGATCAAAAATCTGTCTGCTGTGCTGGATGCCTATACACCATAAGTGCAATGATTCTCAAGTTTGCATGCACCCAACTCAGACCAGATTAGATTGTGCACAATGTGTTATTCTTGGTAAAAAAGGATTCATTTTTTGCCTAAAATTACTTTTGAAACATCATAGTTTCACAAACAAATTGCTATCTTTATACTAAATGGGCAATGATAATGTGTCAAACCTTGAGGGCTTAAATTTACAGCATATGTGATTCTTGCAGGACAGGATTTCACTGCTGTCAGCTATGATTTTGCTGCCATGTCAGGCCAGCTTAACATGCATATTTGCAGTCTTTCCTGGGAGCAGAGCCCTCTACATTCATTCAGTCAGAATCACAGAAAACAATCATAGCTGAATCCTCAGATACACATGCTCTGGGCGGGGATATGGAACAGAACCCCTATATAAGTTCAAATCCAAAGAAAACTTTGATAGGCTTAAGAGAAAACACACAGCAATGAGATAACACCAGCCTTTATCAGGTTAGCTGACACCAATTTTAATCACTGCACTCATTTCTCCTCAGCAGCAGCTCTTTGGTAAAATCATTGTCATCACCTATGTTCTAACACCCTGTAATAATCACTACAAGTTGAAATTGGGCACATGTGCTGGTTCCAAATTTCCTGCTCTTATGATATTTATCATGCAAAACTGTCGGGAGAACATAATCATGCAATGGACAGAGCTCTATAGAGTTAATAAGTGTCTTTCCTTCAACTTCCCTTCATGCCATTCACACGAACACAAAGCTGACATAATTTACCCAGCTAGGGCATGACTTAAAAATTGTATCTCCCTCTATAGCCTGTGCAAACATGCAAACACAAACACGATCAGCTAGCTCCTACATTCCTGAGTCACAAGTCAAAATCCCACCCATCACATTCACTATGCATGCCACCGTAACGTACCTTTCTCGATGCTACAAAGGAATATAAGCTCTTCTCATGTGTATCCAGAACCGCAATAAAGCTGTGGTGGAACAATTTTAACGTTTCTCCTTTTCGCTAAATGCCACAAGTGTAGTTTTACCGACGCGAGCCCACAAACCGCCGCCCCACACCATCCCGCCCTCCAATGGTCGCCTGCTGAAGGGAAGGATCAATATTGCTCCGACGGGGCTTGGAGCGCCAGCTGTTGCGATCGTCACATGACCCGAAAGCGTGACTGCACTCGTGACACAATATTCGCCCTCATTTACCCAAGCGATAACAAATTACAATTTCATGATGCCCAGTTGTAATTTTTAAGAAGAATATGGGTTCAGATCCTATTATAAGTTTAGAAATACACTGTTCAAGCATTCCAGCTCCAACATATGCAGAGAAGAAGCTGCGCAATATGAAAAACACACTGACTGGTTGACTGTCATTCGTTAACACTCACTTCACTCACTTCACATGTTCCCTTGTACGCGCACGCCTGCGGTTAGGGACCGTGCGACCTGCTGACAGGGTGCCGCGGGCCTCTGATGGTGGCGGCAGATAATGCGCTAGACTGTGTACTTTACTGTTTGCTATCTATATCTTATCGCTCTCTGGGGACACGGGCGTGGGGACCATCCAAGAAACAGGCGGCCGAAACCATTTTTCGAAGACGATGCGTGTCAAGCATCCATTCCACTGGCATAGACAAGAAATTTTTTTTGAGACATACCCCAATGGAAGTTGTGAGTTCTCCTTGGGTAGGAATCTGTTGTACTTTTTGCATTTAAGGGCTTCTAAAGCATACTCAGGTGCCAGAAATCCTATAGCGGCCCATGGCATCGTACTTGGATTCCCGAGCCTAAAAATATCCTCAAATAAAAAGCAAGACCTCAAGACGAAAAACAGGATCTTCTTGGCTGGACGAGGCCCTGTGCCCTGATTCTGGGGGGGCGGGGGGGGGGGGGGGTGCAGCCGAGCCCATTGGACCCAAGAAAAACAACGATTTCACAATTCTGGTTGCTCTGGACCTTTAGGAAATCAAAGCATATTTTCCTAAAGGCAGTTCGCTTAAGAACGCTCTCAGAGGTAATGGAAACGAAGTACGACGAACTTTTTAAGATTTTTAAGATACAGGATGCATCTTTGTTTACCCCTTTCTAAGCCGGGGTTGTCCCCTTAGGTGGTGTTCTGGTTCCGCCCTTGAGCGCTCCTGGCTTCCTACGTTTATCTCTGAGGCCGAGTGCAGAGGGTGTACAAATGTGGCTTCAGTATTGGATGGCGTCAGACCCCACTTCACCGCATCATCCTTAAGCGAAATAAGAGGAGCATAATTTTTCACTCATGTGGTGGGGGAGGGGCTTCAGATGCCCCCCACCCCACGGCTTGGGCTCCGGTCCCTCAACTTTGGAAAGAAAGTTAGTCGATTCCGGAGGAAAAACCCTCGGTGTGCGTAACTTCGGGACGGGTTGTATCATTTCTCGCTACTCGGCCCCCACCACCCAACCCATTTTATTTTAAGAAAGTACGGTCCTGGATACATGTTTACATGGTCATGGCGCTGCCCCACTCCCCTTGGATTTTCCAGTGGTGGCGTTGTATGTTACCGAACGTTATAGAATGTCCCAGTTCTTTGTAGCGGTGGAAACTGCCACTGAAGCGCCTGAATCGGCTTCATAAGCTGCCTTTGTAGAAGGGCAGTGTATGAGTCTACTTGGCTGAGGCATCCATCCCATCTTTTTAAGGGTATCAGAAGGTGGAATCAGTGTTCAGATCGTCGTCTTCGCCCGCTGTGATAGTAAGCATGTTCATAATGTTACGGCCCCTCATTACTCAGCTGTCGTCAGTTAAGTTGTCAACTCTTAATAATGTCCGGATGATTTTTCACTTTCACCCATCTACAAGCCTAGCCTGGATTTTTTTCTTCAAACTGCTGTTACTCAAATCGAATTAGAATCAGCCGACACCAGAAGCGTAATGAGAAGACCCTGGTTCGAATCCCAGCAATGTCAGGAAGAAGCTACTGGTGGTAACGCGTAGGTATATCACTGAAAGCGGAACCCCACCCAGTGCTTTTCAGGATTCAGGAACACCTGACGATGGCTGGATAATTAGCTGGCCGAAGCGTTGTGAACATGCTAACACGCCAGATCAAGACAGTAGTCAGAACAACTATTCCATCCTGTAAAATACTTTCAACTTGACTTAGCAATTGAACTCCAGTGCGATTGGAGTTTCAGTATCGAATGATCATGTGACGAGGCCGTGACCTGTACCAGTAGGCATTCTGCTCGTTTAGAGTCTGTCCTCGTTGCCAAAGGCACCAAAAGGCAAGCGCACACGGCCATATGAGAAATGCGCTGTGGTATCCTCTTCACCATACAAAACGGTCGCTGCAGAATGAAAAGCCAAGGCAAAGAGCCAGGGACGGGGGGGGGAGGGGATGGGAGGAAATCGGCATTGGGAGAGCGCAACGCGGGTAATGGTGACGAAAAGGTGACAGAGAAGCAAGGCGACGTAGACAATGTGTGCTGCGTTTGTTGCATGCTGTACCGTGTCTTGCGAATTCTGAATACAGTGCACGAAGTGGCCAAAATGGGCGTGTAAACCATGCACGGATTCCAACGAAAGACAAACATCTTATGTGCGTGTGTGACCTCTGCCGGGAGTAGAGGAAGGATTGAAGACCCAAGTGTAAGCATCTTTGTGCCAAAATTTCGGCTTTCTATTGCTATGGAGTACCAATTGCAGTGTCACGTCAGCAATTCCGACTCGCGCGACGTTTTGAACATTGCTGGAGTCTGTGATTGCATCTACGTTTTAAGGCTTGTGCTCCTTAGACGAGCATGTGAAATGTTGCGAAATAGATAACTTAAGCGGGACGATGCATCGCAGGCCTTTGCAGTGTGTGAGCTAGACGTCATCAGACAACAGGGAACGGCCAATGCACGATGCAATTTTTGACCAGTGTTTACCATATGCTAATTGAACGCATCGCACACATGCATAAGCACAATATTCTTTAATTGAGAACGTTTCATTGAGAGCCATTCATTTATGTCTACTTTACCGAGTAAACTCTTCAGATATAACTTCTCTCCTTTCTGCATGACATGTAGACGGAATACAACGCACATATGAACATATTAGAAAGGGCTTTAGTTGCTCATATCTGAAGCCTGATACCTTGTCGGTACGCAAAGGAATGGACGTTATGGCAAGGACCAAAGTTAAGCTTTTACTGAGGTGGAGCCCTTTGTCCATGGTGCAGTGGGCGGCTTTCTCCGAACTGGGGCAAATGACCCCTTTTTACACTTTACATACTTAAGAAATTTTAGACCCTAAAACACCACCAATGCGTTTATAGATTATTATTCAATGCCATAGAATACATTGAGCTTGGTACTGATGTTTGAGTTGGTCCGATGAAGCGCCTCAGTTTAAAGATGAATGGTTTTAATGAAAGAAGTGGGCGTTTTGCCCCACCCTGCCCTATCTACTTGGAGTTCTCAACTGTCTACATTCATTTGCGGACATCTTAATGCGTCTCATAAATTTGGTACGAGGGGGGGGACGCGCCACTGTGGTCATCTATGTACGCAGGCTTCTGTTTTTAAATCGGGAGCGTGTTGCTGAAACGGCGGATCGTATTCTGTGTTCCGTGTATCTGCCGTCACAGGAAAGAAGGAGCACTTTAGCACGACTACGCTGAACGACTGGGGATCACAAGGTGCACGCACTACTCTCCCACCGGACCGCTTTGCTAGGCTTCAGGGGGGCGAATTGCTATGCAGCATAATATGAGTGACTATGGGGTTTAAGGAACGGTTCGTCGGTGTATCATCCATCTGAATGTGTTGCAAAGGAGTTGGTGAAAAATCGAATCAACACATTTTGTGGGCGTGTTCCAAAAAACTGAACTATGGCTGTGGCATCGATTGATTTTTGCGAGAAAAAAATGACCATGCACACAGCATTGAAACATCAAATGTTCTCAATGCGATCATCGCTCGCTTGATAACGTCGTTCAACCAGCACCTTCTCTCAAACTGAAGGACGATTATTTTCAGCGAACCCCCAGTCCACAATAGCGCAACATCACGAATGTAATGCCTTTCCTGCAACTTCAGTCAGCTTCAACGTCATGCCAAAGCGCTAGTCACGCGGATTCTCAAGTCGGCCATTATGATAACCAGTCCAGTCACCAGTCTTTACCTACTCTGTCCTCTCAGCTATCGACGTGTCTGCTGAGTTCGCGCAAGTTCGGTTTTAATTTAAGGTGTAGATACTTGCCAAAATAAAACGGCGGTTCAAGTGATGTGTTTTCCGTGGTATCCACAGCAAATGTATCATGTGTATGCTGTTCTCTAATCTGCAAAGTGTCAGGCCTTACCCTTCAGCATAAAGCTGTCTTTCACGTCTCGTAACTGTCTTTCACACCACCACCTTCCATGAACGATAAACAAGACATATTTCCGGTGATCACAGCGTACCGTCTTGCTGGGGCGTATTCTATGAATTGCACGTAATTCTAAATTCCTCGCAAAGCCGAGCCTCTACATCAAATTAGAATGGAAGGTCGTCTTTCACCGTTCACTTTGGAATATCGCCCTTACTTAGAGCAATCTTTATCGGCCGATTTAAAGGAGAGTTTAACCACTGATATCGGAAAGCACATTTCAATGGACGGAATCCGGGGAGAAATCAAGTTCTGTGGGCGACTAGATAAAAGCCATCTGCTAAGCCCTCCCCCCCTTAACCAAAAAAAGAAAGTGACACCGCCGCTCTCACAAGCAATATAGCTTTGCCACACCAACTTTGAAGACGGTGTGGCTACTTTTCTCCGGCCATGCCGCATTCTTCACCCAGTTGTACGGTAAACGCCAAATGTTTATTGGATTACAGCCAAGGTACCCCTTCTGAGATGCAGCAACCTCAGGTACTCGAACTCAACTATTTTAGACGGTCAAGTTTGATGATCAAGAAACCCTGAACGTGACGGCCAAAACGCCTCCGAGGCGAAAAATTTTCCGAGCATTTGCTCCCGAGAAAGTTGACAGGACCGGCTGAACAATCAACCGGACTCGAATACGTTACGCGGTCCGACCAACCTAGTGCTCAACTGCTCCTCACCGAAATAAGGTCGACCTCCGATCCGATCGAGAACGCTTGAACAT